AGCAGCTAATAATGGAATTTTATTCCTACCGTCTAAAATAGTTACAAGTTATATGATAATGAAAAAGAAAGAGTATTGAGTTTTTAATCTAGTATTTATTCATAGATAATATACATAGGTCAGACCAAGCAGTCTGTTGATGTGTAAAATGCATATATTTTGCGTATTACTTGAAAGATATTTAAGTACACACTTTTTCATTTTCTACTTATTGTCAGTTAATTTCTGGCCACTAATGATATGCATGAATATAGTGTTATCCAGGGTTATAGTACTTATTTCTAGTTGATGATGAAGTGACTGGAAACTTCCAGCTATTTCTTGATGTTTTATTACATTACTGGTAGTACTTTTGGTCTTTCATCATTATTAATTCATTTAGTATTCATTGTGATAATACTGATCATAATAAATTTATTTCAAATTCATGTAGATGTCATATTTTATTCACTGCTATAGGATTTTCACTGTAATTTGGAACTAATTAATATACCATTAAAATAAAGTGTTACCCACATTTTTCATTTTAAACATAAAATGTCTAGCAGTTCATGACATATTGTATGAGTATTCAGCATCCCAGTGGTAACCCAGCATCTGTAAATTTTGTTTTTAAGCAGTTAAAAAACGGGCAACAGAAAAACGTGTATAGAAATGAAATTTTAGCACATAAGTTAAAGTTTAGCAGTACGTTAACTACTAGTTAATTTTTAGCGCCTCCTTCCTTTAATTGCAATGTATAGTTTTTATTAATATAATATGTGCTTGTGTGTATATATATATATATATATATACACACATTATTAGTACCCCAGAAAGAAATTATTTAATTTTCCACTTGACCAGCGTCACCAGGAGAAATTAAAAAACATTAACTGAAAACAGTTAATTTGACTGCTTCTCTTCTGCATTTCTAATGACAATTATAAATAAAGGGTGAGTTCATACTAATACATTAATAACTAATACAGTAACTTCAAAATAATTATTAGATGTATCTATGTGACTCATTCATATTTTTCTTCCATTTTTGTAAAGGTAGTGAGTTGATTGTTGGTGGGAAAGGAGAAACAAATGTTTTCAATAATTTAAATTGACTATATTAAGAAGATGAAAAACAAATCTAGTTGAGTTGTATTAAATATTAATGGTAAAAGGTTTAAATAACTGTAAGAAACAGCTCTATTCTATTGTCATGAATTTTATTTCACATTAGCCTTATTGAATGAAATTATTCTTATTTTTTCCACATTCTCTCTTCTTTGAGTTGCCTGCTCTACTGGACGTTGTGTTGTTGTATCTTTTCCATGTTGGCCATTAATGACAATTTCTTTGTTCCATGATCCCATCTTGTTATTGGCCAGGATAAGATTTTATTTTTTTTTTTTTTTTTTTTTTTTTGAGACAGAGTTTCGCTCTTGTTACCCAGGCTGGAGTGCAATGGCACGACCTCGGCTCACCGCAACCTCCGCCTCTTGGGTTCAGGCAATTCTCCTGCCTCAGCCTCCTGAGTAGCTGGGACTACAGGCACGCGCCGCCATGCCCAGCTGATTTTTTATATTTTTAGTAGAGACGGGGTTTCACCATGTTGACCAGGATGGTCTCGATCCCTTGACCTCGTGATCCACCCGCCTCGGCCTCCCAAAGTGCTGGGATTACAGGCTTGAGCCACCGCGCCCGGCCCCAGGATAAGATTTTAAAATAAAAATGAAAGATTCTTTCTAATCCTGCAACTAGTTGGATAATGACCTTGTTTTCCATGACTTCTGCACACTGTTTAACGTTGCAGAGTCATGTTCTCCCATCTTGATGCCTTCCCATTAACTTCTATGACACTGCACTATACTTGTATCTTATGATTGGACCTTGTTTTTGTTTTTTTGTTTTTTTAATTTTGTTATTTAGCATCTTTTACTGTAAATCTTTACAGAGATTATCAAACTCTGGGGATATGTGTTTCCATGGTCAAAATGTTGATATTCGAGGAGTCTAGAATCCCTTAATATTATGCACAAAACTCCAAAAACCAAGGCCTTTTGCCTTGGCGTCAACTATTAAGCTCCTTATTTCCCCCATCCTTCATTTCTGTCTTGAAATTTGCGTTTTATCATTCTCATTATTATTTTACTACATGTGTATACATCCTTAATGAACATCTCTAAAATTCTGTGAGGTTTTTACTTATGTAAATAAAATTATTCTGTATATGTTCAAAGGCCAAACTGTTTCCTAGCAACAATATATATGAGTTCTTATCACTAACACTTGGTATAGTCTAAAATTTTGGGGTGTTGCTATAGATGTTGGTATCATTTCATATTCTTAGTCTCTCAGTTTCTTTTATTGTTTTAGGGAGATTAGTGCTACCTTTTGCCACAAAATTTCAATATTATATTTGGAAATTACATAAATTTTCTTTGCATTTTCCTTTTCTTCCATTTTACTTTCCCTTTCTTCTCCTCTCTTCATTTCTCTTCTCCTTTAGAAGCAGTGATGGTTAAAAACCCAGCCTCTGGAGCAGGACTACCAAGGATTAAATGTCAGCTGTGACACTTACTATAGATGTGACCTTGGGCATATTACAATACTTTCTCCACAGTGGTATCTTTTTTTGTCAAATAGGGATAATAATTCTCTTCTTCATAGAGGTATTGAAAGGATTACGCATGAGTTAATTCACTGGTATATAAAATGTTAGGAACTGTGCCTGACACATAGTTTTAATTAGTAAAATATATTTATTTCCTTCTATTTCTCTCAACAGCTCCTTTCATGTTTGCCTGTCTTTTTCCTATCATCACCCAGGATTTAAGTTACTAAGAGGATAGGGCACTCATGGATTCTCCAGCAACTTGTCATCCTAAAGTAGGGAGAGGTTTCAATGTTGGGAGTAGATCTACCAAGGAAAACCTGTGAGTGGCACTCTCACTGGGATGGAATATGCCAACAGGCATGTTTCTCCCTTAGCTAGCACCTTTGGTAAGACAAAGGTTGAGTGTTAGGAGTGACACCAATGATATCTCCTGAAGCCATGGGGAATACATTATAGGACAAAATAGACAAGATTATTGCCTTTGATATTTTCAGGTTTAGTGGAAGACACCATCATTAAATAATTTCTAAATATGATTGTGGTATATATTATGAAGAACTATGAGATTGTAACATGGAAAGGCCTAATTGTAATCTGGGAAGTCAGGGAATGCTCTCTGGAGGAAAGGACTTTAAGCTATTGTCCCTCCCACATGGAGTACAATAATATGGTGCCAGAATACACTTTATTCAAGCCTCTTTTTTTTTTCTTTTGAGACGGAGTTTCGCCCTGTCACCCAGGCTGAAGTGCAGTGGCACGATCTCAGTTCACGGCAACCTCCGCCTCCCAGGTTCAAGGAATTCTTCTGCTTCAGCCTCCTGAGTAGCTGGGATTGCAGGCACCCGCCACTACACTTAGCTAATTTTTATATTTTTAGCAGAAATGGAGTTTCACCATGTTGGCCAGTCTAGTCTTAAATTCCTGACCTCAGATGATCCGCCCACCTTGTCCTCCAAAAGTGCTGGGATTACAGGCATGAGTCACAGCACTGGGCCTTACTCAAACATCTATCATTTGTTACGTGCAGTACAAATATACAACAATAAGTAATCTTGCCTTCCTTCCACTCTTAGAGTGGTCTTCCACTCTTAATTATTTCCAGCAGACTTTATTGCATTGTATAGTAATCTTACCATAATGCTTTCCATTCATTATCAGGTAATACAACTATTTATATATTCTCTTGTGTGTATTTTTTTTTTTTTATTATACTTTAAGTTCTGGGGTACATGTGCAGAATGTGCAGGTTTATTACATAGGTATACAGGTCCCATGTTGGTTTGCTGCACCCATCAACCCATCATCTACATTAGGTATTTCTCCTAATGCTATCTCTCCCTTAACCCCCAACCCCTGATAGGCCTGGGCGTGTGATGTTCCCCTCCCTGTATCCATGTGTTCTCATTGTTCAACTCCCACTCTAGAGTTAGAACATGCAGTGTTTGGTTTTCTGTTCTGTGTTGGTTTTTACAGTTTATCCTACACTTAATCTATACCTTATGTAATCTTACGGATTTGTGTGAATTCTCCCTGTATTGTACATGTTTCACATCTGGATCACTGATTTGAATTTCTTATCTCCGTATAAGCCCTATGACCCTCCCCTTGCCTCCCTTTTTTTTTTTTTTTTTTTTTTTTGAGATGGAGTTTCACTCTTGTTACCCAGGCTGGAGTGCAATGGCGCGATCTCGGCTCACCGCAACCTCTGCCTCCTGGGTTCAGGCAATTCTCCCGCCTCAGCCTCCTGAGTAGCTGGGATTACAGGCAAGCACCACCATGCCCAGCTAATGTTTTGTATTATTAGTAGAGACGGGGTTTCACCATGTTGACCAGGATGGTCTCGATCTCTTGACCCCGTGATCCACCCGCCTTGGCCTTCCAAAGTGCTGGCCCCTGCCTCCTTTAACTTAAACAGACTTTCTGAGAATTCCAGCTATTAATGGAACAGGCATTCCATGATGGATTCATTTTACTTAGAGGCAACTCATTTAACTGATAAATGAGTGAAATATGTGAGCATTTTAGTCTTGCATGATACATGTGTAGTAGCATTTAAACAGTAAATTCAAATGATTATGTTTTAAAAGCAATGTCAAAATAACACATTGCTTTCTTACTCCCTAATAAAAATTACTGGAAAATTAATTAATTGTAAAATTGGTGATTATCAAAAAAAAAAAAAGTAAAGCTGTTGAAAGCACATGGCTTCTCAGAGAAATGTTAATTTCCAAAACATAGCTCATGATTTTTGAAATGCCTTATTTATTTATATTTTAATGTTACTTAAAATGACATTTGAATTTATAATGATCACTTTGGAAGAAATTAAAAATCAAGTTTAACAGGTTGACTTGCTTTAGAATTATATTAGTTACTAATGAAGTGCTTTTTAAACATTTTGTTTTAGTGTTGTTGATCCATTTAGAAATAAGGAGAATGACGCAGCAGTTAAAATCCAGAGCTGGTTTCGAGGATGTCAAGTTCGGGCATATATCAGGTATATTGGTTTTGTCACGGAAACCTCAGATATGTCATAAATATATATCCCTTAGAAAATATAATTTATTCATGCAGTGCTCATTTCAAATAATTTTTTTATTTTACTCATAATGTAGTTAATAAATTATATGGTGTTCTTTTAAAAGAAATACATAGTATTTCTGATATTTTCTTACCAAAACTAAATTACATTGACTATATTTCTTTTTAAAATTCTCAATATTAACTGGGTGTGGTGGCTCACTCCTGTAATCCCAGCACTTTGGGAGACTGAGGCAGGTGAGTCACTTGAGGTCAGGAATTTGAGACCAGCCTGACCAACATGGCAAAACCCTGTCTCTAGTAAAAATATAAAAATTAGCTGAGCGTGGTGGTGCACATCCCAGGTACTTGGAAGGCTGAGGCAGGAGAATCCCTTGAACTTGGAAGGCAGAGGTTGCAGTGAGCTGAGAAGGCACCACTGCACTCCAGCCTGGTGAGCAGAGTGAGACTGTCTCAAAAAAATAAAACAAAATTCTCAATATTACAAACACACTTGCTCAGATGCCTTTTCCCATATTCCATAGAATCTACAAATGATTGGGTTTGTATTTATAGCAATAAATTCATTGACTGGTAAGAAAGGGGGAAAAGAGAAAACAGTTTCAATCTTTTCCACTATATTGGTAGATAAAAGAAAGTGATGCATGAATGATGTCATCTGACCATACAACGAGACTGAAATTTGTACCCTTCTTAACTCTTTCTCCCTTTTTTTCAGTGCCCAAACTTTCCCTCCGTGTCTTTCTTAAAATATATTTTCCTGGATTAGGTAGAGGAAATATGCCTACTTCATAATAACTCATCAGACTGGGAATTATCCTATATAAAACTTCCTTATACTGTCTAGTAGGAGCTAGACATGCAACTTTAAAGTGTGAAGACAAGGCTTCTTTGTCTTTTTCTTTCTTTCTTTTTGAGACGGAGTTTTGCTCTTATTGCCCAGACTGGAGTGCAATGGCACAATCTTGGCTCACCGAAACCTCCACCTCCTGGGTTCAAGCGATTCTCCTGCCTTAGCCTCCCAAGCCGCTGGGATTACAGGCACGTGCCACCATGCCCTACTAATTTTTGTATTCTGTATTTTTGGTAGAGACGGGGTTTCTCCATGTTGGTCAGGCTGGACTTGAACTCCTGAACTCAGCTATCTGCCTGTCTCATCCTCCGAAAGTGCTGGGATAACTAGTGTGAGCCATGGTGCCAAGAAGACAAGGCTTCTCTTTTGGCCACTATATGAACTAAGGAACATGGTGGCAAATAGAGTATTTTTTAATTCAGCAGACTAACATGATGTTGGCTTGGATAGACTGAGGATTACAGAAAAAGAATGAAGAGGAGAACTATTTCTTAACCTCATGAATCCTTCCTCCCTCCCCTTCCTCTCTCCTACCCTCCCTTTTCCCTTCCCCCTCCCCTCCCCCTCCTGTTCCCTCTCCCCTTCCCTACCCTCTCCCCTTTCTTCCCTTCCCTCCCCTCTCCCCTTTCTTCCCTT